TATGTTTTTTAGAAAGTTTCTTGCCAAGTCAGATATGTTAGGATTAGTGCCTGAAACAGGTTACGATTCAGGACTGTTGTGCTGATTTTATAGTTCTTATTGTAAAGCGCCTGTGAGACGCCCACACTGATGGCTCCGAGGTCTTTGTTGGGGTTTCTATGGAACGAGATTTATTTATTTATTTTTCCTTGCTTCATTTGTATTGCTAATGGCTCTTTGTCTGACAAAATGGACTCTCTTCTATTTGCTGCTATCCGAGCTCTTTCTCGGGCTCTGCAGAGAGGTCTTGGATTATGGTGCTTTGGACGTGGAGTTCAAGTTTTAATTATAGTGGAGCTGTTAGAGAAGCTTCTCTATAGTTGAGGTGGTAAAATTACAGTTCTCTGTTCTGTTAGTCAGATGCACTTTCGCACTTCCCAAAATGTCTTATCTCCATGCTTAATAAAAGCATTTGAGGGAAAAAAGGTCTGAAATATCATTCGCATCAGTGAAATATTACACAGTAGCAACTACAGATATGAACATCCAAATTTGCTCTTGTAGAGTTTTGAATCAAAAAAACCTTTCTCATACTAAACTGCAATATTTTGTAAGTATCACTTAACTTTGTGAAAATATAAGAGGTCTTATTTTTTTACAGCAGAACTTTTTCTGATTGAAAACCAATTCTGTTTCTTGTCAATAAATCTTGAAAACCATCTCATCTTAGTCTCTTGTGTATACACACATGAATATAGAGCTCATTAACATTAATTATGTGAGCTGAAGTCAATGTAACCTTAAATATAAGAGTTTATTATATTGTTAATTAAAATCTTATTTTTGGGGAAATAATTGATTGTGATTTTCTGTCGGTTTATAACCATTCGAAGAAATTGTAAAAGTGTTAAATGCTCTTTCAGTACTCGATAAAGGTTGGCTGTCGGAGTTAAGGGAGTCATGATGCAATCTGGAAATGCCTTTTGGAGCCTTCATAGTGCAGTGTTGCCAGTGGGACTGTGCTGAGCTTTTATTTTTCAGTTACAAGACTTTCATGCAATTGGAGTTCCGAGTTGGCTGGAGGAAGGTTATGAGCCTGTGACGTGTCCTTGCGGCCCAGGCGCCGCGGTGGCGGCAGCTCGAGGGAGGTGGTCCCTGCCCTTCGCTTGGGCCCCCAGGCCCTGTCTGGGTGCCCTGTCCAGTGCTCAGCCCCCCAGCGCAGGACAGGCATGGGGCACGTTCAGGGAAGGGGCTGCTAAAATGATTAAGAGCCTGGAGCACCTCTTGTGAGAAAAGGCTGAGAGACCTGGAGCTGTTTAGTCTGGGGACGAGAAGGCCTGGTGGGTTCTTACCAATGCATATAAAACATCTGAAGGGAGGATATAAATAATAAGGGGCCAAGATCTGCTCAGTGGTGCCTAAGTGAGAGAATGAGAGGCAACAGGCACAAACTGAGACACAGAAAGCTCCCTCTGAACGTAAGGGTGTTTTAAACTGGTTGTGGAGTCTTCATTCTGGAGATCCTCGAAAGCTGCCTGGACACGATCCTGGGCAACGGGCTGTGGGTGATCCTGTCTGAGCAGGAGGTCGGCCTGGATGATCCCTAGAGCTCCCTTCCAATCTCAGCTGGTCTGTTAGTATGTGAAGATTAGTTATATCTTACAAGAACTTGAGTGGTATAAAAATAGGCAAAAATAATGATGCTGATGTGTAATTTGCTTTGGTTCTGTTGTAAGTAAAGAGCAAGTAGAGCTGTTTTAAAGTTGACTTGCTAAACTGAAGATTAAGAGAAGTTGCATGTGATCAGCATGCAAGAGATGCATGTAAGCGATGTGTAGTCAGTGCATCAGGTAACTGGCTGATTCTTTGTAATGTTCATTTAGAAAAGCATGTGGTGTTTTGTGCTCTTGCAGGTTGCTGTGCTAACCTCCGTCGTGTCTGGACTCCTGCCTCCGCTCTTTCTCTCTCCTGCATTCCTCCATCTCTCAGCATTTCCTACAGCTTAGGTCTAAAACCTCTGAACTCTGAAAAGTCCTATCTGCACAGGAGTTAGGTGCTGCAAGAGGGCTGTTTCTGGTGGTAATTGTGTGGAAATTTGAAGGGATTACATAATTTTGATTCTAGTTAAGTCTTTCAATGCGAAGGTTTTTGCATCTTCAAAGGGGAACCATTTCTTATAACTAGCCCTGTAAAGATGCTTTGAGAGCAGAGGCCAAGCTGCAGCCTGGGAGAGTAATTCCAGGTTGGATCATGGGTTGCTTTGAAACATTACAACTGTGGTGTGTTTGTGGTTTTTTTTTAATGTGTTTAAAAAAAAAAAAAAAAAAAAAAAAAAAGGAAGCAACCATCAGAGGATAAAAGGATAAACAGAA